CCTGCAACTGCTGTATTGTTAGAATCATAGGATGTCAGAATATGACAAGACCTCAGTGAATATCTAGTACAATCCCTTTCTTTCATAGCTGAGAAAATAAGACTAAGACTGGGGCAGTGATGGGCTCAGTCACACAGTTCCTTAGTGATGCAAATAACAAGACTTCCGTATGAGGAGATTAGAAGCTTACATGGCTGAGAAGAAGTCATCTGCTGCTCTCACAGCTGTGGAGTGAAGTTGATTAGAGTTCTATGGGGTGATTTGGGGGTAATGGTAGGGAGATATATGATGTTTAGTGAAACAGATGATTTGAGGTTGGCCTTGTTGCAAAGAATGTTACAGCTTAATTGAAAATGTGGTGGTTGTGGTGAGTTGTATATTACTTGTCAAGGGAAGGTTGAGGGAGAAGGAAAGGCTAGGGGTGGGAGACAAGGTGTGATGGTATGGTGGTAGCTGCCATTGTGCTGTCCTACCCTTCTGTCATTATTGGAGTGTGAATTTGTCTTAATCAAAGTTCTTGCTTGCTTGACCTAGTAACATACCCCTCCCCAACTCTGGCACTGTCATTTGTCCCCATGGGAGCAAGCACTGATGATAACCATGAGGTCATAGTCATGTCAGATAAGTTTGCTTCCAGTTCTCTTGTTAGAAGGAGAGGAGCAGGTAGGTGGTGCAGTGGATAGAGCACAGGCCCAGAAGTCAGGAGGACCTGAGTTCAAATCTAGCCTCAGACCAAACACTTGACACTTATTAACTGTGTGACTGAGCAAGTCACTTAACCCCAATTGCCTAAAAAAAAAGAGAGACCCTGGATTGGAGTTTGAGAGAGCACATGTCAGGCACTCACAGGTTCTAGGGCTTGCTCCACCAGGCTACATTGCCACCTCTATCACTTGGTGTCACTTAAACTTCCTTGGCCTCAGTTTCCTCAAATATGAAATCAGGGGGATGGATTAGTTTGCCACTAAATCTTTAATTTCCTGAGTCTTCCTACCCTATCCCTTGGTGTACTGGCTATCAGATCGTTAAGTATTGTACAGATAATAAAACTAGGATAGTCTGGGCCTTGAAATGCGAGAACACATCTGATTGTTTAATTTAGGATTACAGGATTACAAAGTGCAAGAGACTTTAGTCCCATCTATTCAACCCCCCATTTTACAGTCAAAGAGACTGAGGCCCAGAAAGGTCAGGTAACTTGCCCCAGGTCACACAAGCAGCAAAGTTCCAGAGACAGCCTTTGTAATGGGGCTTCTGGCATCAAATCCAGTCCCTGCTTCACTAACCCACAGTGCCTCTCTCACAGCTTTTTTTTTTCACAAGTAAAGCTAATTCTTAAATTAATAAAGCTTAACAGTTAATATTTGAATTGCAGTGAAGCCCTACATACATTCAGAATGAGATTTTTGCTGTTACCACAAGGTGGATACTCTTAATAGAGAACTTTCTTAATAAAGAGGAATACCTGAATTGTACTAGTCAAGAGATTCTGGATGAATATAGCGGGAAAGGAACTAACTATAGTCAGAGGCTGTGGGATCAAATCTTCTCCCTGATACTGCTTGTATCATTTCTCTACCATGCCCCAGAAACCTCTTTATTTTGAAAACTCACCTCAGTTTTGTAATTCACACCTGGGAAGTACCTCCATTTCTTTCAGCCTCTCTCACTCTGATTGGATGGCTCCTGTCAGAACCTCTATTAAGGAGGGCACTGAATCCAACAATATCTCCCTCCTCTATAGGATTTTCTTTCACTTTTAAGTTTAATCTGTGTTATTAACATTTTCTCCAACACATGTTAAAGTCAGCCATTAACAAAACAATAAGCTAAACCCTGATTTATAGCATTCGACAATATTTCAGGTGTAAATGCTAGCTTGATAGAACTGGCTTCAGCACACTTCAATTTCCCTCATTAGAATATAAGCTCCTTGAAGGCAAGGACTGTTTTTTTTTCTCTCTGTTTATATTTGTATTTCCTGTGCTTAGCACAGTACCTGCATAGACAAAGTATTTGATAAATGCTTGCTGTTTCACTGACTGACCTTGGGCAAATAAATTAGCCTTCCTGGTCCTCAATTGCTACTTCTGTAAAATGACATCATTGGATAAAATGGTCTCTGAAACTCCTTCCAGTTCTAGGTTCGTGATCCTCTGATCCATCTCATACCCTGCCTATGATATACCTTGTCTTCTGCATGAAGCTGTTCCTGGTGGCCAAGTGCCCTCTTCAGGCCCCTCCCTGAAATACCTTGTATATATTTTGTATATGCTTATTTATCCATGTTTTCTCCCCTCCTTGAAAGCTGGCATTGGTAAATTTTTTTTTATTTTGTATCCCCAATGCTTGACACATAGTAGCTCCTTAATAAATTCTTGTTGATTGACTGATACAAAGTTTTTTTTTTTTATTCTACATTGGAGGGAGACTGTTGCCACATAAGGGTAAATACATGTAAAATATTTTGTAAACTACAGTGATGCAAATAGAAGGCATAATTACTATAATTACAGTATGTCTAAATCTGATAGGAACTGTGTTAGAATAGTATTCTCTAAAAGGATAATGTTGTGGAACCAGAACTGAATTTAGAGTCAGAAGAACTACGTTTGGGAGTAAGAGCCTCTTTTCTTTTTGTTGTTTGTTGTTCAGACTTGAACAATTCATGACTCCATTAGGGCTTTTTCTCGGCAAAGATACTGGAGTGCTTTGCCATTTCCTTCCCCAGCTCATTTTACAGGTGAGGAAACTGAGGCAAACAAGGTTAAGTAACTTGCCCACAGTCACACAGCTAGTATGTGTCTGAGACAGGATTTGAACTCAGGTCTTCCTGATTCCAGGCCTGGTACTCTATCCACTGAACCACCTAGCTGTCCTTAACAGGTGGCTAACAAATGTTTATTGAATTAGAATGGATTATTGTTTATTGGATTACCTATATCTGTGACTATGGGAAAGTCACATCAACTTTCTAATCTGTAAAATGAGGTTGGATGAGATGATTCTTTCCAGCGATCCTGCCCCAGCATTCTATGAATCTCTGATTCTAAAATTTTGAAAACAAATTGTAGGCTATTTTTACACAGATGTGAAGTCATTTTAGATACAAAATTTCAAGACCAACACTGAACTTATAAGAATCAGACACATTTCTTATAACGAAGGGCCTCTAAGACTCTCAAGCAGGTTGCCCCTTTCTACCCTCACCATAACTCCTCCATAATGAACTTCAGGTCATTTCAGGAGCCCCTGCCAGTTCCAACCTAATCTTATTTATTTATTAAAGTGCATTGACTCCCCCTCAGCCCGCAGCAGATACACAGAGGACCAGGGAGGCAGGTTAGCTCATTTTGCAATCCTGTCATAGCTCTAGTAACTTCCATTGTGCATTGATAACAGCTTCATTTGTCACAAGCCCAGAGAAAGGAATTCAGTCCCTGTTCTTGGTGTGGGTGGGATGAAAGCCAAGGGTTTCCAATACTCATTGTGGATGTGAAGAGAGAATACAATCTGGACAGCATTGAACTGGCAGATAGGAAACTCCGAAGTGTAAAACCCTGAAGGGACCTATACAGATTTCACTGAGGGGAAAGTAGCTTTTCTGTGAATACCCTCAGGTTATCTCTGACTTTCACTCCTTTGTAATTCACAAACTAAAGGGCAGGGTGTTTGGCCAGTTATAGGCTGGAGTGAGGAGACTGTTGAAGTGTGGGAAACTCTCAAGCAATCAATCAATCATCATTTTTAAGCTCTTGCAAAGTACCAGTCCTGAAGCTAAGTTCTGGAGATGTGAAACATTGGCAAAAGCACATTCCCGGGCCACAAGGAACTCATACTATAATGGAAGACAAGATAGGTAAACAACTATAAGATACATACAATGTAAATGGGAGGTAATCTCAAAGGGAAGGGAAAAGCAGGGGCTGGGGTGGGGAATGTTTCCCAAAGAAGACAAGATTTGAACTAGGGAAGCTCGGGATTGGAGAGAGGGAGGACAGCATTCCCAGCATGGGAGATATCTCTTACAAAAGCTTGAAGTCAGAGCTCAAAGGCACTGCTGGGGGGCGGGGGGTAAAAAGAGGGAGGGAGAGGCAGACAGACAGACAGACAGATAGACACAGAGACAGAGAGACCACAGATGGTGGGAATTCAGTTAATCTTGAAGGCAACCAAAAAAGGTGGTCCGTATATCACTGATGAGTGGGAAGAATGCATTTGCAAAATGTGGATGTCAGTGGCACCCGCACCTCACCCAAAAAAATTTTGTTCCGTAGTTTTGTGAAGAGTCAAGCACCTTCTTGGGCACTATGACCAGTGGTTACATTCAATTTATGGTACTGGGCCCAGGAGATAGGGTCTCCCATGGTCAATCAAATGAACCAAGCTTTTCCTACTCCTCTCCCAGTGACAGATGTGCTGAAATGTCTGGCGTACATCCCAACTGAGCCTGATTTTCCTTTGGAACCTGTCTGTGGAACTCTGGGGTCCTAGAACCTACAAATGTAATTGTTAAACAGTGACACAGAGACATGGAGAGACAGAGACATTTAAATCTTTTTAGCACTGAGAGTGTGGTAACAGATAAATCTTTTATGACTGAAGTATTGATTGACGGTAAGACAGGGAAGAGGGGGAAAGGTGGGTGTGTGAGAAGGGGTTCCTTACAGTAGTTCATCTGACTTACAATATGGTGAATTGCCAAGAAAAGGATGCTAAAGATGCACACACCATCTCTATTTCCTGAATCAAATAAAGGTTTATTTATGTGTCCTCAAAGTCAAGAATCACCAATCTTATGTAACCATGATATTTGGGAGGAAAAAATCTGGAGCAGCTATCAATTGAAGATTGATCAGAGATGAAAATAAATTACCCCTGAAATAGCAATTATATAAATTAAGGGATATTAAGATTTTTCTTGAGTTGCTTCAATGTCTCTGAGTTTCAACTGGCTTATGACTTTGGGCGAATCACTTAACTTACCTGTACACCCCAAATTCATTAACAGGAAGTCAACCTTATGGTAATTTTTTTTTTGAGGCTTGCTCAGGGCTAGCAGAGGTGGTCCGTAATCCAGCCAGTATCTGGTTTCATGTCATTCCTCTGAAGCATACTACTTCATGTGGCCTGATTTCCTCTACCCTATTTTTCTGTAAAATAAAGGAGTTGGACTTTAGGGTCTCTGAAGTACCTTTCAGCTCTAAATCTATGATCTTTTACAACTGGGTTCCAGTCCTTCCTCTGACATATACCAGCTAAATGACTCTTAGTAAGCGACCCTTAGTAAGTGATTTTTATTCTAAACTACTCTTAAGGCAGGTAGGTGGTTCAGTGGATTGAGCACTGGCCCTGGAGTCAGCAGGACCTGATTTCAAATTTGGCCTCAGACACTTGACACTTACTACTTGTCTGGGCAAGACACTTAACCGTGATTGCCTTTTATAAATAAATGGATGGATGGATGGATGAATGAATGAATGAAATCTAAGCTACTTTCTATAATAGCAGGACCCTCTAAATTGGGTGGACTTAGCAGAACCTGTGTCCTGGTTTAGCACTGGAGAGTCTAAGCACTTCTGTTCTATGATGAGCCATCAGAGTGGGACAAAAACTTATAAAACCATCTACCAAGGGGCTAACAGGTTGTGTTTTATTGGTGGATTGAGTAGCCATACAATTGATAATCACAGATACTTTTGAGTTTGAATGAATGTATCTGTATTTTACTGTGTCTGAAGAGTATAGCCAAAATGAGAGGCTGTGGTAAAACTATCTTCTCTTATTATTTTTTTTTCTCTCTCTCTTTTAGGTAAGTAAAAGAGATCTTCTGAAGTATATGTCTGGTGGAAACTGTACGGGTGGCCGAACTCTCTCAGAAGAGAAAGGAAGGCAGGGCTCCTTGAAATGGTAATATCACTGTTGTTCACTGTACATAAAGAAGGCTCACACATGCTGAGCAAGATTGTGGTTTGTTTTTATGTGGTTTCATTCCTTTGCCTCCTGACCACTTTGCATGGTTTGAATTTCTAAGACATTGGGGAAAATTTCTTCACTATTTGTACAGCTGAATCACATATCTGTTCATATCCCAGGCAAATCTGAAATCTTCTAATATGGATTCTTCTCATTTCTTTTTTTTTCCCCCTCTGGTTACCTGGTATCCCCTTGGCAGGGAGTGTCATGTTCTATCTTCACAAAAAAATACCTTAAGTTAAAGCTAAAATATCCCCAAAAAGAAAATGTAGGTAATCAGCCAGATGTACCCAGTCGTGAGGTCAGTGAGGCTATTACCCCATGGGAAGTGGTAGACACCCTGTCACTATAGTCTTTTAAAATTAAATTATACTTCATGCTGCTAAACATGCAATGCTACAGGGAACAGTGCTAGCTACATGAGCAAGTGTCCTCTACTGGTTCTGCAAATTCATGTAAGTTTTAATAGTTTGGAAAATGTGGCCTGCAGACTGAAAAGAGGTGCATTTACCTTGTTGCTTTGTAGGCCTCTGATCTGTAATCTTTCTCTGCGTTTCAACTAGCCAGATAATCTTGGGCAAGTCTTCTCAATGTCCTTGCCTTCTCACCTCAGTTTACTCATCTGTAAAATGGTGCTCTTTGAGATCCTCTAGGTGAAAATCTGTTATCCTATGGTTATGCATAAATGAAGTAGGTATGCCTAGAAGGCATTTATAAATAAAGCCAGGTGGTATGCCTAGAAGGGCTGTACTGATCAAGCCACTTTGTTTAAAAAATACCTCCCCCACCACTGACTGTCTTGGTACCTGAAAATTCCACCATTAAAAATCCATTCCCAGGGTCAGCTAGGTGGTGGTGCAGTAAATAGAGCACAAGCCCTGGAGTCAGAAGGACCTGAATTCAAATCCAGCCTTAGACACATAACACTCACTAGCTGTGTAACTCTGGGCAAGTCACTAAACCCCAATTGCTTCACAAAAAACACCGAACAAACAAAAAAATCCATTCCCATCCAGTCCTTAAGTATAAGCTTTAGAGAGATGCAGTATGGCATAGTGGATAGAAAGCCAGACTTTGAGTCAGTAAGACCTGAGTTCAAATTCTGCCTCTAACATACTGGTTGTATAACCCTGGACAAGTTACTTAATCCCTCAGTGACCCCAATTGACCATTTAAAACTGTAAATTGCAGACCAGGTACTCACCTACAGGGTTTAAGGGAGTTTCTTCTATGGGAATTCTCTTCATAAATCTCTGGAAACTCAAAGATACTTCTTTTGATGTGCTTTCTCCAGTCTGTGGTAGCTGGGGGTAGCTGGGAGAAGGGGATTTGGAAGGAAGGGGGAAGTTAATCTCCATCACAATGGAACCTTTTTGACATTGATAGCTTGCTGGCAAGCACTTTTTCCAGTTTTCCTTAGCTACTTCCTTTACCTTCCTACCTCCAAAAATAAACATTTATCCACTTTGTCTTCAACCCTCATGTATGTTTTTATGATATTATTTTCTTTGTTGAGCCAGCACTTCAACATTTTCTACTATCACCACTATGCAGGTGATTCCCCAGTCTATATTTCTAACCCTAACTTTTTCTAGTCTCCAGGTTCACATACTTCCAATTGCCTCCTGGACATTTCCAATTACATATATCCCACTCAGGACATCACAGGTATCATGTCTAAAACTGAATTTACCACCTTTTTTTCTTATCCTCCACCTTCCTCCCCTCTTATCCAGCCTTTTTTCCAACCAGATTTTGTTTCTGACTTAGCTGATTATGTTAAAGGAACCTCCATTAAGCCTTACTCCAGCTCTATGATGGAGTCATATCTGACCCTTGCCTTTCCTTTGCTTAGCTCTCTACTATCTTTATCTGCCATCTCCTTTGCATTCCCATTGCTACCACTCTCACTGTGTCCCCTATCACCTCCTACCTGTGATACTGTAACAGATCTGAGAACAGGTCTTTTTGCTTCCAGTCTTTCAAACCTCTGGGTATTTCTACATGCCGCTGCCACATCAGTCATGCTAAAATTCAGCTCCAATCTGAAGGAAGGAAGGAAGGAAGGAAGGAAGGAAGGAAGGAAGGAAGGAAGGAAGGAAGGAAGGAAGAAAAGAAAGAAAGGAAGAAAAGAAAGAGAAGAAAGAAAGAAAGAAAGAAAGAAAGAAAGAAAGAAAGAAAGAAAGAAAAAGGAAGGAAGGAAGAGAAGGAAGAAAGGAAGAGAAAGAAGGGAGGAAAGAAGGAAGGAAACAGAAAAATCATTGCCTCCACATTGGTTATATGATAAACAGCTTAACATTTAGTCCCACACAAGCTGGCATCCACTTATATTTCCTACCTTATTTTATACCTCTCTTCATGAAGTCCATATTCCTGCCTAAATACGTTATTGCTGAAAGTTGACATTCCATTTGCCGCTACTGTGCCTTTGCCTAATTTATGCTCCAATCCTGAAATGTTTCCTCCTGAGAACGAACTTAGAAAAAGCCTATAGAGAGAGAAAGAAGATTAGAGATAGATGGTAGGGGAATATTTAGGAGAGGGGCAATTTACTGGAGAAGGAAGGGGATGTGGAAGAAGGATACATGATGAGGAAAAAGGATAACTATGAGCGTCACTTCCTCCAAAGTGCAGAAAAATACACATACACACACACACACTTTAGGTAAAATGTAGCCTTTTTAGGGTTACTTCATTGGGTAGCAAGGAGAAAGGGCTTGTGTTCTTTTCAGTGACAACCTTAGTTCCTGGAAAAGATAAATGGAGTTTTTTTAATATATAGCCCTGTAAACTGTTAGACCTGAGAGCTACTTTAAAGATCTAATCCAAATGCTTCATTTTACAGATGAAGATACTGAGGATTTGGATCACGTGCCCATTCAGTAACAGCTTGTACATCATAGATACCATCATGCCAAAGCATGGGCTTGCCTAGTAATCTACCCTCCTTCCAGATGGTTACCTCCCCCAACCCCAACCCCACAAACACACTCATACCAGAAAGCCTTCCCTTCCTCGATGAACACACATTGGCTCCTTCCCCCAATTCCCTCCCAATATTATATTTTACATTTTAAAGCATGCATGATATTTTAGCTAAGGATTTTTTATACTAATCTCTTTTTCTGATATTGAAAATAATCCCTGTGCCTCCTGTTTTGTTGCTTCCTCTATTAATGAAGTTTTTGACATGACAGTGGGTTGTTAGAATGCCTCCTCTTGACTAAGGAGCATATGACAGTAATGTTGGCATAAATTAAGGTTAGGCCACTTTGCCACCAGATCTATTGAGTGTCAGGACCCTGTTATGGTCACCCTAATATTCATAGAGAAACTCTTCATCTGGTTTGTGTATGCCTGATACCACTAGCTCCTCCTGCTACTGTTCCTAGTCTCCTTTCAGCCACTTAACCTATTGTAACACCTCTTCCAGGAAGCAAGTGGGGGGAAGGCTCAAAGTGCCAAAAAGTCAAGACAATTTTGCTGCAGAGAAGTGTTTCTTGCAAAGGTCAGGTGGAGGTGGATGTTGAATCCATCTGCTTGACTGAGACCTTGGATTATCAGTGTTTTTGTGTATGGCATTTTCTGTACTTCATGAGCTTGCAGAATCAAAAGTCAACTCTATTGATACTTGTCTGGTGAGGTATGATAATCATGGCATGACACTGTTATGCTTCATTCACTGCTCTGCTTTTCAATAGTTCCATGGCTAAAACAGTGAAGTGTGTAGAATGCAGATGGTCAGAGCAGGAAAGTTCCTTAGAAAGCCCTTCATTTTTCAGAAAAGGTAATTGTGATCCAAAGAGGGAAATTTACTGGGCCAAGGCCACACAACTCTTTACTGCCTGCAACAGGCCTACACACTTGATATTCTTATTCCCAGGTCAATTCTCCTTTATTTACTATGCTGAATCCTTATTTGAATAGCTTGTCATGGTAGTTGGTAGAATTTTAGAGAACTGATTTAACCAAACATTGGGGTTAAGGATCTCCTATGTACAAGGTGATGGGATTAGGAGGGTAGGGCAGATTGACTTGTTTGTGCTAGATGAACCTATGACTTCATTGATTCAAAAAATTCTAAGCTAAAGAATATATATTCCTCCATCAACGCAGATCACCATCTTTGATTTAGAATTTTAGAAAGCTGGGTCCCTGAGAAATTAAGTCCATTGTTCAGGGCCACATAGCCAGAATGCCTCAGTGTCAGTAATTGAACCCTAGAGACTTGACCTTCTGTCTCCCAGATTAGCCAGCAATCCACTACACAATAGAACCTCTTCTGGCAAACACATAGAGATTAAATGATGGAGTGTTCAGGGAGGATTGGTACATCTGGTGTAAGGGCTTACTGAGCCTTTTTCAGGGCTACTCACCTACCTTTGGTGTCCACCTTTCACCCAACTCTCACCTGCTATAAGCTCCGAGAACCTATAGCATGCACAAGGGTCACATCCTGGTAAAACCATCTCAGTAGATGGGCTAAACCAGGTTGAAGGTAACTGACAAACCTTAAACCCATTGATAAGTTAAGGGGATGTCTACCCCAAACATGTGAAGATGTCCATCATTGCCCCCCCACCCAGAGGAATGAGTAGATGAGAACAATTTGTTCCAAAGGCCATGAAGGTGGCTAAAGTAGATGTTATGGAGGCTTAGAACTTGAGATTAATTAGACATAGAAGACACCAAAGTCATCCATTGTATCCTGGGCCATCACCAGTCATCTTGACTTTTGTCTTGCCACTGGATTTTGATGACTCTGGAAGAGAGAAAAAGGCTGATGACTCAGCAACTCTAATTCACTTAAATCCAATTCGCACAAGTCAAGGTATCATTGATCTTCTTCAAAACTGAAAGATGTACAACAACAGAAAAGACCTTCCCTGCCCACATACAAATGACAATTTTCCTAGGAGTGAAATGACATAATGGAAATGAAATGGCATAGACATAGTATGTCTGGAACAATGACGCAAAATAGAACATGATAAGAATATAAGAGAGACATAAAATTCTGTACCAAGCTCAAGGCAAGAAAAATCGCTTTCCCCTGTATATGTGTAAACAAGATATGATGGCAGCATTGCACATCAGGACATCTGAAATAAAAACTAAATACTCATAACCTAAGTTGGCATAAAGCTGGAAGGGATAGTCAACAAAGGGGATGAGATTCTGAAGATCTGAAAAGATCCAGCTAGGTTGGAAGAATGGCCAAAACTAACTAAGATGATGAAATTTAATAGGAAAAAAAATTCCCTCTGCTTGAATTAAAAACAAACAGACCATATAAGTATAAAATGAGAGACACATGGATATAAACTGTTTCATATAAGGAAGTTCCTCAGGTTTTAATGAGAAGGGAAAAGTATAAGCATTTTTACAGCATCTATTATGTACCAGGAACTGCAATAAACACTTTACAAATATTATCTCATTTTATCCTCACAACAACCTTGTGAGGTAGATGCCATTATTATCCCCACTTTACAGTTGAGCAAACTGTGAGTTTCAGTAACCTTCAAGCTTAATATGAGTCAACAGAATGACAGGACAAAAGAATGACAGGTTTATACAATTATGTTGCATTTTGTCTATCTCACACTCTGCATTGACAAACAAGTACATGCAGAAAGGTGAGGTCACTCAGGCAATATGAGGATCATTGGAAAATCAGGACTATTTAGTCAAGGGTGAAAAGCCTGTGAGTAAAGTGTAGCTACCTTTAGGTTTTTCAAAGTCTGTCAAAGAAAAGGGGTTACATGGCCCCTAATGAAAACTCTAGAACCAATGAGTAATCATTGCAAAGTGGAAGCTTTTGGGTTCAGTATGAAGGAAAGAAAAAAAGAAACATTTCTAAGAATGAGAAGTGTCCAGAAGTGCAATGTTTTTTCTCAGAAGGTCGTAGATTCCCTACCACTGAAAATCTTCAAGTGGAGGCTGGGCAACCACTTGTCAGTGCCTGGCACATAATAGGTGGCTAATAAATGCTTGTTTATTGTTAACTGACTATATAATCAAGGAGATTGTAGAGGAGATTCCTTTTCAGCTTTTGGTTGGGTTGTATGCCTTTGAGGTCTCTTCCTACTCTGATATACTATAATTCTAAGATAAACTTTAAGGAGATTATATGCACCTAAGAAAATCATGAAATATGATTATTAGAATGTTAAATGTGGGAAAAAAGGTGACTATATAAAAGATTTCACATTATCTATTGACCTCTTGGCAAAAGATAGTTCTCAACAAAAAGGGTCTATGTGGGTTATCTGGTGAATTTTTCCCTTTTATTTTAGGGTTACAGCAATTGCTAACTGTCCAGTTATTTATTAGCCCACTTAACACCCCACCCTCTTCCTTCATTTCTCCCTCTCATCTCCTCTGTCCCCTCTTTCCCTCCTCCTCCTCCTCCTCCTCCTCCTCCTTCTTCTCTTCTCTCTCTCTCTCTCTCTCTCTCTCTCTCTCTCTCCCTCCTTCCCTCCCTCTTTCTCTCTTTATCTTTTTGTCTCTCCCTCTCTTCTTCTCTCCCCCCCATCCTGTTTACCCACATCTGGATATCTTCTAACAGCTCCTTGTGCCCTGATTAGGTGAGCATCCCAAGATTACTATTGGGGGTATATATTTCTTCTTCACATAATCTTTAGCCTCACTACATTGTCTTTCTTGCTATCCTTCACCAACATTCCATCTCTAGAGTCTGCACCTTTTCATACCTGTCCCAATGCCAAGAATGCACTTCTTTATGTCTACTTTTTGTAGTATCTAGTTTCTTCAAAGCTAAAGTCATTGGAAAACAACTGAGTTTTCACCTTGGAATGTGCGTCTGCCACTGAGTCCTACTTTTCCCACTGGAACCATAAAGAAGCTCCTCCTGGTACCTCCTTTTTGAAGAGCCCAAGCCAACCTTTCTTCATTTCTCTCCTGCTTCTTCTTCTGGCTCTCTAGACTGTGCTGTGAGGCCTTCCGTTTCTCTCCGCCCTGGCCCCCTTCAGCTCCCTTTTATGTGTTGTCCTCACCTTACATTAGAATAAAAGCTCCCTGAGAGCAGAGCCACTTAGCATAGAGTCTGATACATGTGTTGTTCGGCCATTCCTGATGTGTCTATCCCATTTGGGGTTTTCTTGGCAAAGATACTTGAGTGGTTTGCTATTTCCTTCTTCAGCTCATTTTACAGATGAGGAAACTGAGGCAAACAGGGTTTAAGTGACTTGCCTGGGGTCACACAGCTAGGAAGTGTGTGAGGCCAGATTTGAACCCAGGATGATAAGTATTCCTGACTCCAGGCCCCACACGCTATCCACTGTACCACCTAGCTACCCATATGTACAGCCTTGATATATAGTAAACACTTAATAAATATTTGTTAATTGATTGACTTAAATATCACTTTGTATATCAGACCTTTCCTGATCTTCTCAAATGCTAGAACTTCATTCTCCTATTAACTTGTATTTATTTTAAACTATTTGATAAATATTATATATGTATTCATTGCCTCACTCTATAAAACATATGCTCCTTGAAAGAAGAGATTAGATTGTGGCATTGCATTCCAACCCCCTAGTACACTGCTCTGCACGTAATGTGTTGTTCAGTCATTTGAGTTGTGTCCTCTGTGACCCCTTTTGGGGTTTTCTTGGCAGAGATCCTGGAATGGTTCACTATTTCCTTCTCCAGATCATTATACAGATGAGGAACTGAGGCAAACAGGGTTAAGTGACTTGCCCAGGGTCACACAACAAGTAATTGTCTAAGGCCGACTTTGAACTCAGGTCCTCCTGATTCCAGGATCATTACTCTGTGCACTGTACCATCTAGCTTCCCTTGGCACATAATAAGTGTTTAATAATGTTGGTTGATTATTTTTATTAATTCATTAGATAATATGTTTCAGTTTGGCCACAGTGCAATCTATAGACAGTAAATTAGTAATGACAACAACAGCCAACATTTTCATCAACATTTCAACACTTCAGAAAA